TATATAAGTCTAACTGCTATTGCTATTGCTATTGCTAAGAGATATCTCTCCACTTAGATACTGATCCAGTACAAAGTAACTTCTACAGAGACACCAATAGTGTTTGGATGTACGAGAACCACAAACTATTTTATTCCTTGATAAGTTGGTACCTTCCACAGTATGATGTCTTTCATCCACACTACACCCAAACTGAGATGGTCTTTGCAAAGCCTACAGGAGGAATCCTAGAATGAAGCTACCTTATTTAGGAGTCTTCTGTTGTTTTTCACACAGACCTTTCAAAGAGCTCACAAGTTCATGTAGTAGGAATTGCTGTCTCTGGTGTAGCTGAACAAAACCTTACATGCAAAATTATTTCCAAACAAAAGCTATTGGACCAAAATATGCATGTTCCAGGCAGAGGTGTATCCTTGGGGAAGAGCAGGAATAGCCAAGGACGGAAACAGATGACCAGTTCCCTCAATCTTTCCACCTCTTTACTTTTCCTATCTCCCTGTAGCTGTCATTGCCAAAATCCTTGTCTTCAAGGGCATCATATCCAACTAGCCCATCCACTTCCCTGATCGTCCCAGCACTTCCTTTCCCTGCCTCCCTCTAAGCTATCTGTGATACTCGGCCATCCTGCTCCCACCAGAATCTTTCCTGAGGGGAGGCACTGGTAAGATTCCGAATAGGGGAGGTAGCCTTTTGGAGTTGTTGCCATGTTTGAAGCAAAGATATTGACACAAATCTGGAACAATCAAAATGTTCCTGGTTATGTTTCTGCTGAACAGCAGCACACCCAGAATTGTTTGGCAAAATAAATTTTCCATTTCGTGCACATCCCTAAGAGACCTCTTTCAAATTTCTGTTTAAATGACAATGAGTGCAAAAAATTCATTTCATATCCTTCCAGCCAATTTTGTTATGTAGGGTAATGTGTGTTCTGTATCTCCCCCTCCCCCTTCTTTTTAATAAAAGCCATCTCCATCTTCATTTCCAAAAGCTTCTTGTGGCATTAGGGAAATAAATTACATTCTGATACTTCTTGCTGGAATTGAAAGTATAATTAGCTTTTTATGTTACTAGAAAAATCCATATTAAAATTATAGCTGCAATACTGAATGAAGTGAGGGTTCATCTTGCAGGCGATTGACCCAAAAGTGCTGAACCCCAGTGAGATTGTGAGCATATGAACAGAAACACACAAAAGGATGACGGGGGTTTCTAACTCCTGGAATAGGCTAACTGATGTCAACTGAACTAGAATAGAGGTAGTGACAGATTGTATTTTCCTGGGNCGCTTTCGTCGACCGCGATTTTGTCGTCCGCGTTTTTGTGGTAGAACCGCAGGACACATTCACCTTATGCACATTCACCACCATGAATGAATATAAACATGATCAATGCACAAAGGTTATTTTGCAGAGGTTTTATTTTATTTTACTATTTTTTTTTTCACATTAAATCTTCCTAACTCATTGAAAAAGCAGACCCCAGTGTCCTCTGGAGTTGAAAACCACCCATTCAACTGCAGTGGTGTGGATCTGACTCACCCAATTCTAATTTCATCGTAAAATTATCTTATAATAACTATTTTAAAAAGCCGCATCAGTTTCTGTCTTTAAAAAAAAAATGCCCGAGAAGGGGATCAAAGGGAACTATGAAGGACTTTCTTTTTCAAGGAGGACAGAGAAGAGGCCAAGCGAAAAAAGCAAAGAAACCACTGGAAAGAGAGCACCCTGCAGATTTATATTTATTTTAGGCCTTTTCATCCCAGATTTTCAAAGGTTTGGTCCAGGTTGCTCTTCCTGAGAAGGTTTTCCTTTCAGTCTTACATTAAAACATTCTGTTTCCTGTCGAGGAATAGCCTTCAGGCACCAGGCCAGCAGTTCACGGCACAAGCAGAGCAATTCAGAGCAATTCTCCATTAGAGCCGGGAAAGTATTCCTTGCTGTAGGAAATGAAATGCTCCTCTGTTGAGATGAGTTCCCGTCCCCTCAAACCCACACCCTTTCTCTTTCCCTTCGACACCTTTCTTTGAAGTGGGGAGATTAGAATAATGTCCAGTCTTTCTCCAGCCCACCCTTTTCAGAAATAGGATTGACGTTGACGGTAGCTATGATTTTCTTCCCAAGCATCCCTGTTATTCTTAATGGATCTCATTTTCATACATCTGAAAATGTGAGTGCTAATTTTTATAAGAGGGTACTGTCAAACAAGGATGTGGTGGCTCAGTGGCCAAGGCACTGTGTTTGTCGATCAGAAAGGTTGGCAGTTCGGCAGTTTGAATTCCTAGCGCCACATAATGGAGTGAGCTCCCGTTACTTGTCCCAGCTTCTGCCAACCTAGCAGTTCGAAAGCATGTAAAAATGCAAGTAGAAAAATANAAAACAAAAACCAAGGAAATTCAGATAGGTGAGTAGGAGAGTTTACTGAAATCAGATCCAATAAGGTATGTGTCTTTTATACATATAAAGAGATGAAGTGGATCACATGTTTAGTGTACATATACAATGATTTCATATGTTACAAATAGTTAATTCAAAAAACAAAAAGGGCTTTATCCTCCAAATGCTTTGTTCTTCTCCAACAGGAAAAAAAAGAAATCTACTATTATTTAAAAACCTTTTCTTAAAAAGAAAACTCCGGGGAGGGGATTTCAATGCTTCTTTAAAACCTCAAAGTCAATAAAAATGTACACCAAGGCAATAACTAAAGTATAGAAGCATTCAAGTTTATCTTTTTAGAACCTGAAAAACCAAGATTCATCCTCTTGCACCATTAAATAAACTGAATAATGTCTTCCTCAAGAAATTATGTTTTGGTTCCTTCAGTGTGAACGGGCAAGATGAAAGCCAGCGCTGCCGCAGCCACCGCCTTCTTTTGACTAAAGCAAAACAAATACAGCGGAACTATTTTGTTGCTGACTCATAGAAGATACAAATGGAGGAGTGTAAGGCGGACTGGAGATAAAAAGGGGGAAGATCTGAAATGCTACTCTTGGCTCTCCTTTTTGAGTTGGACTCGGAATTCTGTGATGGTGAAGGGATGTGGCAGTGATTGTCTTTATGATTCAATGTCTTTAGCAGGGACACCAGGGTAAAATTTGACACCCTTAGACATACACCTTATATGCCTGTTTAAAATGAAGGACATCCATGGAGATTTTAACAAGCTTCCATTTCAAGAAGAGGTCCTGATGTTGCTGCCTTCGTCTTGCAGGTTGAGAATGTGTGTCGCTTCCCACCTGCAAAGAACAACACAGTAAACATTTTTTAGAATTGCATATCAAAGTACATTACTATGTATTATTCATTGGTTTAATTATACTCTTACTATGTAGGTAGTACCTTCACAATCTAAGCATTATCATACCGGCTTAGAAATTCTAAGAGTTGAAACGCATGCATCTGAAGGAGGTCTAACATGGGGAAGACTGGAATAGAGCAAGGCTAGGCAACCTGATTCCTTTCTTACCCTCTGGGCTGCAACTGCCAGCTTGCCTCACCATTGGTTACATTGGCCAGATAAGATCTGGTAGACACCTGCATATTTGTTCTTATGATTTTGATAAGCCTTATGGAAGCAGTTACTCTGCTTTATACAAAAGATGCATCTAGATATTGTCCAATGACAACTTCCGATATATGGAACAAATTAGAATTCAATCTGACATACAAAGTTCTAAACAAAAGTGTAAGAAACTCTAGATCCCAAAGCAAATATATATTGTATATAATGCTTAACGTTAACAATATACAGATGCTCAATGAGGTATTCAATAGAACAGGGTTTCCCAACCTTGGCAACNGAAAAATATGGTACTCATATTCATTTGTATCCTCTAAAGACAATACCTGTTAGAGGTTCAGATTGAAGGTGATCTGGTTGAATCTCCCTTTTGAAGCCAATCCAAAGGGCTTTTACCTACTGAAGTAAAGCAACCACATTGCTGCTTTTTGAACCTCTCAGTGCCTTTCTGCTCCAACGCACAGAATACTTGCCTTTAAAGTGCATGAGGCTGCTCTCGGTGCTTTGTAAGTTTGAGGATTTCGGTAGCAGCAGCCTTTTGCTTCAGGCACGTTGCCTTCAAAGCTTGTTGTCTTCAGTGCCGGAAGCCAAAAGTTGAGACAAGTGGCACCTGCTTTATGCAGTAATATTTTTTGAAAGAGACGGTGCAAATGTGTCCCGGTTGTGTAGAGTGGAAAGCTCAGATTCAGGTGTATTGGTGATTGTATCTTTGAAGTTCTGCCATAGTGATGTATATCAATGCTGACAGTTGGAACATGTGCTGCCAAACGGGGAGGGAATCAGCACAGCTGCACATGGAAAATTGTGTGAAGCCCCAGAGGTGGAATTTCATCATTTAATTGGGCAGGGCGGGGGGGAGGGACATAAAGCTGCCAGTGGCTCCCTTTTCTCTAATGCATTTTGCTACTTGAGGGACGAGCCATAATGTTAGTTTCCTCTGTCAGTTCAATGTGCACAAACGGATCCCTAATATTTTATAATATCGCATTCTATTACATGTTTTGATGGTTATTTAAGACTTTTTAATTATTGGATTTATTGTTACATTTGTGAAATGGGTGGCTATATAAATTTGGTCCATACATAAAGGACAAATGACTTTAAAGCAAGTTTCTGTTTATGCAAATGAGTGTAATACGCAGTAAACACATTTGATTGCTTTTCCAACTTTGCAGGCTGGTGCAGAATTTGTTGAGAAGACTTTAAAGAATATAACCGTGAACACGGATCCGGTCTCTGTGGTCCACAGCACTGACCTTGTAGTAGAGGCCATTTTGGAACACTTAGCCCCAAAAACTGAGCTCTTCAAGACACTGGATAAGTTTGCATCAGAGTATGTTTTAAAATTATTATAGACAAGATAAATACAAAAAGTCATTACCAACTAGAGAGATGAAAATATTAATTTGCAGGACTATACCGTCTTCTGATGATTTTGACGATTAGTCTAAGAAAAGAAGTTTAAATGTAGGGTTGGTTGTTCAGATTTACCCTCCTGTTCACAACCCAAATAAACTTTTGACCAGATGCATAAATAATCAGTTGAAAATGTTAACTGGTTTAAGAGAAATGGGGAGAATGGACATTTATTTATTTCAAAGGAAAAGCAGCTTTGCTAGATGTCGTAACTGCTTTCATTAAAGAAAAGATTACAACTAATTTTGTTTCTACTTGTAAACTGCTTCTGGATCTGTTCTTGAGGTGAAAAAAAATGAATTTGATTTTGAGTTTTGCTGAGTAGATAGATTTATTGTTATAGAAATCGCTAGTACATATTAGTATGTAAAAGTAAAAAAAATGGAGCTTGTATGTTACCTGCTACTGTGTTAAAAAGAGTCAGAAGTCAATGCTTGTGTTTGTTTTTTCTTTTTCCCCTACACTTTTCCCTCTCTCTTTTCGCTTCCCTTTCTTTCCCATTATTTTCATTTGTGTTTATATTTTATATTTCGATAAACTTAATAACACTATATATCCAAGCTTACAGAGAGGTTTAATTGATACGCTGAAGGTTGGGCCCAAAAATGTGTATCCAGCAAAGATGGGACACTAATTTTGAATTCATCTAAATTCAGTTAAAATAAATGTATACACATAATTCTTGCTTAAAGTCCACTTGTTCTGCAGCTATTCAGTTACAATGATGCTGAATGAGGGGAATTTATGAAAGATCCTCATTGTTATGACTATTGCAATGCCCCTACAGCAGTGTTTCTCAACCTTGGCAACTTGAAGATGTCCGGACCTCAACTCCCAGAATTCCCCAGCCAGCATTCTTCAAGTTGCCATGGTTGAGAAATACTGCCCTACAGTCTCGCCATTGTGATTTGGGCACTTGGCAAGCGGCTCGCAATTATGACATCATAGAGTAGCATGATACTGTGCTGATACAGCTTCTGACAAGGAAAGCTTCTGACAAGATACAGCTTCTGACAAGGAAAGTCAGTGGGGAAGTTCGCAGGAGGTTGCAAATTTCAATCACATGACATTACTCGCGTTGTTCGCTGAACAACAGCAATTGGTATGGCCAGCCACAACTGCTGTTATACGTTGGCGCAGTCACGTGACATATCGCTTTGTCCTCCAAATTGCTTAGCAACGGAGCTGCTGTCCCAATTACTGTCATTATGCAAGTACCTATATTCATTAAGTACATGTATTTAGTAGTAAGTAGTATGATTTATCTCATGTATTTCATAATTTTCTTTTGTTACATCAGAAATTAGAATGGAAAGCATCTTTCTGGGGGAGTCACGGGTTACCCACTGTGAATCTTTGTTTGAATTTAAATCACTTGTTTCTAAATTAAAATATAGTTAATGGAAACCCAAAGTTGTATGGAGAGTTAGCGTAGCTTAATTATTTTGACTTTTTAATTTTATAGTCTAATCTTCTATATTAGCTTTTATTTTAACTTGCTGGCTTAGTGCGATAAAAAGAATATACCTTTCCCCCTTCTTTGCTTTGTCATGCCAAATAAAGCATTCGAAATCATATTTTGCTCACCAGAAGCTGAGAACTCATCTTGCTTTCACATGGGGGGTTCTTATCATTTTAAGATATTCTCTACTCTGTAGGAAAAGTCTGAGTGAAAACATTAACTTCAGAAAGAAAGGAAGTGGTGTAATTCTCCACCTGTGATCAAAGATTAAAAAGATATTCCTACACCAAAGAATCATTCTAGTAAATTATTTAGGTAAAGTCCCATCTCTTCTTCCACAGAAAGGTAATCATGGCTGTTTCAGAGGAATTACTGTTGAAAATTGAGCAATTTTATCACAATATCATTGATAAAATAATCAACTAAATAGATTTTAAGGGTTGATGGAATGAATAGAGTGCAAGCTTGTTTGATGGTTGTATTTTTCATAGATCATTGTATCCATATCGCTCCTTTTAATAGCAAACTGAAACAAGCGCTGATGGCAGAATAGGCTGAATTTTGACAAAGCCACAGTCTGCAAAGTGTAGGGGAAAAATGTAAGATGTGTTAAAAAAAATAATAAGGCAGGTGATCAAAGAGTGATAAGAATCTAAAATAACTGAGTTACAACTGAAGCAGAGAATTTGGAGGAACATTAGAAAAAGGCAAAAATTAAGGTAGAGATGAAATGGTGTATCTTGAAAGAAAACTTATCAATCAGGAATTTTAAACAAGTGAACTGTAGCAACAGTTTTTGCATTTTTAAACGTAAATAGCATATTGCAAAGCTTTATGCTGCAGTTTACTTCCCAGTTCCAGGTGTCTGATTTCAAGCTTAACTTCAAAGAACATGATTGTTCTTTATTTCTTCTGCAAACCTTTTGAAAACCAGGAATATAATTTGTCCTGTACACTTCATCAGGGAAGTGCAATATTTAAGGCTAGCCATTCAGTGGGATCTTGGAGGAGTGGTGCAGTGGCCTAGAGTTGGCTCTCGCCTCACAATTGGGAGGCTTGAGTTCAATCCTAGATAGAGGCAGATATTTCTCTCTCTGGGCACACTGGGAATATATCTGCTGAACAAAACTCGGCATTGGTAACAGGAAGGGCATCCAGCCATTAAATCACTCTGTTTGCTCCATTCACTTGCACAGACTCCATCCAGCAAGGGATTATGGGATTGTTAAATGATGATGATGATGATGATGATGATGATGATGATGATGATGATGATGATGATAATGATGATTCTTCAATGGGATCTTGAGAATTGCAATCCCAAAAGTTGGAGAGTCAGGAGAAAGAGGGTGGTGGACCCAGGACAAGAACTATAAAACTGAAATTCAATTAAAATACAATTACTAAGATTACTTTATGTATATTTAATAATGGTCGTATCTTGTCATATTAAATTTAAACATTAGCAGCAGCTTTGATAAGGAGGTGTGACTTTTGGTGGTGGTTAATGTATCTTATTTTAAATTCCCGTTACGTGCATCTGATGATGAAATAGTGCATAAATCTTTTCTACTAATCATGGAATTTAGAGGTTGAGTTTAGGTATTTCTCCTTTCTTCTAGCCTTGAGTTGCTATTATGTTAATATTTTAATGAGTACTCTCTGAGTTTATTATAAATTTGACTTATCAGAGAGATTAGATTCTTGCTGAATTTGAAATGAACAATGAAGGGAAGTAAGCATTTTTTTTCCTTTTGGTTCCCTTTGTGTCAGATGATGCTACAAGTACAGTAATAGGTTTTATTCTTTTGGAGAATACTTTGATTTTAAAGGATATCTCACTCTGGTTATATGGTAGAATAATCTGATTTCTAAAAGAATGCCATGTGGATTGTTTATTAGGAATGAAGGCTTGATTATTTGAGGTTGTTGATCTGTTTATGTTATATCCTGCTTTTATTTTTTTTATTATACATAATGTTCCTTTCTACTTTTGCTTTCATAAACATATGTGAGGGGGTGGGTTGAGTAGAAGGAGTGATTGGCTCAAATTCTCCTTAGTGCCTTCTATGTCTAAGAGTGGACTAGAACTGGGCATGGGTAGTCTTAGTGAAGAGAAGGACCAGGGGAGACATGATAGCAATGTTCCAATATTTGAGGGGCTGCCACAGAGAGGAGGGGGTCA